CAGGAGTACTTGTGGCACCTTAGAGACTAACACATTTATTTGAGCATAAGCTTTAGCTGTAGCCCACGAAAGCTTATGCTCAAAGAAATGTGTTAGTCTCTAAGGTGCCACAAGTACTCCTGTTCTTTTTATGAAATTCTTTAGCTCAAATAGATCTATGGGTTGCATTAGGGGTTTTCTGAGCCAAAGTTTCTGGGTTCTATCCCTCATGCCCACCTGTGTCCATATAGCCGAGGACCCTCCTATTCCACAGCCTTAAAATTCATCCCTTGTTGCGGAAGTGGGCTCCAGAATCTTTGATTTCATTTAAAAAAACCTAGCCCTCATGGTTGTTGCAAAAATGACCTCAGAATAGTAAGCTGAGACAGTGCTGTTTTCCTGAGTTTGAAGATGGCCTGAAACTATAACCTTGAGAGCCGTGAGCTGCCCCATTCATCTAATTAGGTGTGGACACTGGAACCTAAAAATATGTGGCATTTTGAAAACCGAAAATGTAGAGTTAGTATAAGACTAGATTTAAATATAAAAATTACTCACAGCTGATGTACTGATGGATTTTTTTTCACTCCGGTTACATTCAATAAAAAACTCCATTCTAAAAATGTATTGAAGTTGTCACAGAATTGAGGTCCAGTTTGCTGCAGACAATGTGGGTGCTCGAGTAGCTGGTGACTGTCTGTATACATACAGCCATGGATGCATTAATCTAACAAGCTGTGTTTTACAGCTACCCAGTTTATATGTTTGGCAGATCTGGAGTCCCAGGTGGCCCTGATCTGGAAATGCAGTAGTTTTCACCCTCCTGGGGATGGTAGCAATGGCATCAGAGGTCACTGGAACTGGAAACTGATCCCCTCAGGGCAGGGCCTGTTCATCCACACCAGTGAGTATCCAGCATAAGCATCCCATCTTGTTGCTAGTTTAAACAGCAGTTAGGTGTGAGTAGAAAGTCTCGTCTAGTTATCAGATTAAAATCAGAAGTGAACAAGGGAACAAAACTGTTGTGGAATAAAAAGGATGCCAGCCACTCAAGTTGTGTTCTGTTCTTATCTCTCTCTGGCTGTTGTGTACATTAGATGAAAGGTTTCTGAAAGCAGAAGTCTTTGTGTAGTATGTGCCAGTGAAGTAATTTTAAAGTTTCGTTTGAAATGTTATCTCTAGGAAATACACGGTTGATAAGGAGATGTTCTTCATGTGACAAATTGTCTAATAGCAACAATCAAATAGACTGTGGGGAAAAAATGAGCATCTGAAAACGAGAGCAGCAAGTCGGGAGGAAAGATAATATGCTAGTAGTGAGCAGGGTAAAATACAAGTTGGTTGTAAATTTTCAGCTACTGCAGTTGGAGCCTGTAGGAGAACTAAGTGTATGTTATGTGCCCATAAAGCTTCACATGGGAGGGAGGGAGGGGATGGATAGGTTTTTCTAAATTGAGATGACCATATGGTATTATCCAATAATAAAATGCACCCCCTATTATATGGATTAAAAACTGGATAACTTATAGTTCTCTAAAAGTAATCATAAATGGGGAACCATCATTCTAGTGGTGATGTTTCTAGAGGGGTCTAGTAGGGATCAGTTCTTGGCCCAGTGATATTCAATATCTTTTTCAGTGATGTGGAGGAAAACACATGATTGTTGGTAAAGTTTGCAGATGACACAAATTGGTGGAGTAGTAAAAAAAAAAAATGTAAGGGCAAGTCTGATCTATAGAGCCACCTGGATTGCATGGGAAACTAGGCTCACTTGGGACAAAAAGAGGGACTGTCACTCCGAAAAGGACTGCAGGGTTGGGGATAGGGAGGAGGGTAGTCATGGTGGATAATCAGTTAAATGTGATCTTGCAGTGTGATGTGGTATCTGAGAGCAAATGCAATCCTTGGCTGCATAAGCAGGGGAATATTGAGTAGAAGTTGGTAGATGTTATTACAACTGTATTGGGCATTTGGGAGACGGTTACTGGGATAGTGTGTCCAGTTCCGGTGTCAACATTTGAAAAAGAATGTTGACAAACTGGAAATCCTTCAGAAAAGGGCTACAAGAATGATTCGAGGTCTGGAAGACTTGCATCACAGTGAGAGACTAAAGCTCCATCTGTTCAGTTGATCCAAGAGAAGGTTCAGAGGTGCTATGCGTATCTACTGGAGAGATCTCTGGTAGTAAAGGCCCCTTCATTCTAGCAGATAGAGACACAAGATCCCATGGCTGGAAGCTGAAGATAGACAAATTCAGGCTAGACACAAGGTGCAGATTATTTAGTGAGTGTAATTAGCCATTGGAACAGTTTATCTAGGGTATGGGTGCATTTTATCACTTGTAGTCTTTAAATCAAGACTGGCCCTTTCTAAATGAGAGGCTGTAGATCAGCCATAAGTGATTGGGCTTGACGCAGGAATCGCTGCGTAAAAATCTCCAGCTTGTTATACAGGAGGTCAGACTAGATCATAATGGTCCCTTCTGGTCATAAATTCTATGAATTAATAAGTACTAAAATCCTGCCTGTGGCCACCCCCTCTCAGTAATCACACGTTGTTATTCCAGATGAACTGAAACAAGCAGCACTTTATTTTGCTTGATAACGCTATCAAAAAATACAAGCAAGTGTTCCAGGGCAAGTGGGTGGTGGGGCACATTCAGAGTGATTAATGGCCCATGTGAGTGCACCAGGCATACATTTAATAAACACTGTGAGGGCAAATGTTCACATGCAGCTTTAAAAGGGTGAAAATCTGGCCAGAATGCAAAGGCAAATTAGGGGCGTGGTCCAACTCCCATTATAGACCAGGGGAAAACTGACTTCGCTGGGAATTGGGTGATACCTAGGGACTCCTGACAAATTCACAGAAGGACCTTTGATGTCACCAGTTTGGGACATGCACTAAATTGGAAGATAAACATACACCCACCTAACCTTTTCCCTCCTATTCAACACCTGCCATTTCTTCCCTCTTGCAGTGCTCATGGGGAGCGTTTTCAGTATCCTGTTAATCACCATGATCCTAATGGCAGTATGCGTCTACAAGCCCATTCGACGACGGTAGCAGAGCGGGAAGAATCGGAACGGATTGGTCACCTTGCTTGTGCAGCAACCGTAAATCCAGCCTGATTTGTAGTCTGAGTTCTGGCTTGTAAACCACTACGGCTGCTTAGTAAAAAGACTGTGAGAAGTTGTTGTTGTTTTTTTCCCCTCTAACATGTAATGTAACCAGTTGTTTCCCTTGCAGAAGCATGCCTACAACTGCTTGGCTCCTCTCAAAGACACCATAGCTAGAATCTGAAAATCTCCTCCCAGATCTCTAGCAATTAGTAGCTCAACAGAGGTCTATCTCTTCAAACATGGATGCCTAAAGTTAGACGCTTAAATAAATGTGGCCTCACTCTGGCAAATTTTATGTCTGTGACTAATGCTAAGCACTCATGTTTGAAAATGTTAGCTGTAAACTTGAGTTAATATTTGGCCTAACTCTGATAGGAAAGGCTAGGAATATGTGAAGTATTTTACTTTGGTATTGCCCACAGGAAAACACTACCACTTAGACTTGCTGTATTTCTGAATTCTGTTCTCAATTCCTGGGTGGGAATATGACATGAGTAACCCTCATGATACTCCTTAAACACAGCCTCTAAGTGATCCTAACATGAAAACAATGTACTGTAGATAATGTGGTTCATGTGCCATTTTTGGCAGCAAGGCTGATTACAATTTCAGCTGTTTCAAATGTCAAAGTTTTCTCAATCTAGTCTGTCAAATACCCAGTGGACTACAGTGTGGTGGTATCAGAAACAAAGTTAAATGGAAAGCTTATAACTTTTGATTTGTTCTAAAAATCATAATTTTGCAAGCAGGCAAGTGCGTTGGATTCTGATGTATTGATTGGTTTTGCAGTCTTAAGGAATGCAACTCTCCACTCAAGCATGAAGTCTTCTATCAGGTTTCTAGAGTTAGTCTTATAAAAGTCAGTCAAAAGACGAGGGCTTGAACATGCTCTAGTCATGAACTTGGCTTTGTAGGGCTGGCCTACGCACACATTTGAATTGAAATAGAAGTATGAATTAAAACTGATTTCATTATTTTGGGGGCATGTTGGTTTGTTACTGACTTTAGCTGCTTTTATTCTGAAATAAGTGGCTACACTCAGACTTGTACCAAAATAGCTATGTTGGTTTTAGGAATCCGGTCCAAGTTTTTTTGTAGACCAGACCCCAGGGCTGAACAAATGTTCATGTCCTTAAATATGTAATAGGTTTGGGCTCAGTAGATGAAATGACTAACAGTGTAAACTTCAGCCCCTTAAATATTTCCAAGAAAGTCAGTCATGGTTGAGTGACTGTCACTTTAATAAGATTGAGGGACTGTCACTTTCAAAACCTTGTGAAAATGTTGTGTGTTTAAGTTATGTGCAGCTCTGTTATATGCATTGTACGTGATAAGTGTTTACACTTGCATATAAATGCTGCTATTTTATTTTGCACTAGTATAAGTGTTTTTTAAATAACAAACAAGAAAAATCCAACTAAGGACTGCGTTGGTGGTGGTAATTTATTTTAGAATATTTTAATTTCACATGAGGAACAACTCCCTGCATCTCTCTTCTATTGTTTTCAACTTTCTACTGTGGCTTATGTAAGTAACAACTGCTGGCTCCATTTCATTTAAAGGGATGATGTGACGGCTGGTGAAAGTAGTGATGACTTTTTGCTGCTTGTCTGTATTGTAATAAGATGATGATTGTACCCTGCAATTCCCAGCCTTTAAGTAAAATATGAGCTAAAGTGAGAGTAAACTGGTGGTAAGTTTTAGTTCTTGCTGCTCCTTTTTCTGTTTTGTATATTGTATCAGCCGAATCATCTGTCTACTCTCCGTCTGTCTTCATTTCACCTCAGATTACACTTTCATCTTCGTTAGCGTGGTAGTGAGGGAAAGTCCAGCTGCACTCAAGGTTATAGGCTTGTAGCTACAAGCCTATAACCTTATCTGCTTGCTTGGAGTGATATTCTTGTTTACATTCCCCACTCCTAGCTACCTCCCTTATTGTACAAATAAAAAGCTAACCCAATGAGTCTGGTGTTTGTGTATAGATATTCTGCACATGTTATAAACTCTGCCACAGCTCTGTGGAAGGACCTGGCAAGCAGCCCTGCAGCCATTACTGACAGTCACCCTACGAGCAGTGACAACCCCAGGGTGAGTGAGGATTATCAGACAAGACCTTCTGGGCTCATCTACACAGGGACACTCAAGAAGGTGAAGGAAATGTAGGAAGCCCCTGTATGGATATTTAGAAGTAAAGTGGCTTTAGTTTGCTGTAACTTAAGCTACAGTGAACTAAGCCCACGTCATTTCTAAGCCACAGTCAACTAGGCCCACCTACAGGTTTAATTCACTTTAGCTCCACACTTTCAGTTAACTCAGTCACTTTCCTGCATTTCTCCATGTAGATGAGCCCTAAGAGCTTTTTAGCTGTAACAAGCTACAATGTGGCCAAAATTCTCAAAGATGCCCACTGTTTTGGGCTGGCTGGTTGAGTGGGCTTGGGACAGCCAGGGCGAGAGTTTCAGAGCTAAGCACCTACAACCCCTTGTGACTACATTTGGAGTGCTCAGCACTGGTGAAAGTCAGGTTCTTGATGGCTCCTGTGAGGCACTCTACATTAGACAACATGAATTCTTTTCCAGGAGAAGTTGGAGACTATTCTCTGCAGTGACTGCATGACAGTCTTTCCTCCCTCCCCCCAACCTAGGAAGTGTTCAGACAACTGACATAAACTTAGTTACCACCAGTATTAATACAAATTTCAGATGAGCTCCTATCTGCTGACTTTCTTCCCCTAGCACCCAGCTGATCTGATGTACTGAAAATTGAGTAATAGGACTGCTTAAAAACCCACCAGCTGAGCAGCCACTATCTTTTCTCTCACAACCTAGTTCTAGCTGTGATGCAACTCTTTCCGCCATTGGCAATCCACCTTAAAGGTAACTAGCAACCGATGGACCTCCTTGTGTTTTTATAGAACAAATCGTTGTTGATGGTAAAATTGTAGGAGCAATTACTTTAAAAAATGGGCTATGGTTTTAATCCTGCATGACCTTAAATTATTTAACACACTGTGGTCACTGAACACAGACTGACACCATAGGGAACGTTTCACTTGCCCCATATGAACGTTGCTCCAGGACAAAGCGTGCTAACTGCCCAACAGCATTCTAGGACACAGTAAATAAATACTGTGTCCACTCTTGAAGTTCAGGGAGCATTTAGAGAGAGACTAATGATCTGATCTATCCAAATTATAGGAGTCAGTGTGACTTTTACGAAAACTGCTCTCAGGTTGGAAATAGGCACATGTAGATGAGCTCCTTGTTGTTTCTGATTCAGTAAGGTACTTAAGCAGACCTAACTTTAAACCCTTGAAGTAAATGGTACTAAATGTGTGCTTAAGCACATACTCAGACCCTCCTGAATCAGAGGATTAAGTGAATTACAATTGATCCTGCTAATAATTGTTGTCCTGTTCACCATGCTTTCCTATTGCAGTCATCAAAAGATAGCAATTCAGACAAATAAAACTTGGTTAGCTCCCTAACAGTAGACTGAACTCTCTCCTACATCAATACAGTAATGGAGCAACTGCACATCTTCCTGGTTAAATATGAATTGTTACTTTCAGGATATCTAAATGCAGTACAAAAGTGTCCATATTAAGCTGTGTTCAGAAGAAATTACAAACATACTTAAGTGCTTGAAATAGCACCAACAATTTGTCCTAAGCATTTAGCCTCATTTTCAGGGAGAATTATAGGCCTACTGTAGATCACATGGAGATTCAATCACTGTCAAATTACAGCATGAATTTTAAGAGAGCAGAGTTAATCTGGATTTATAATCCATAAAAGCTGGTTACAGTTTTAATGATTCATAGCTTTAGAGAATGGTACATACTTGCTACAGAGCTTACTTAGAAAGTGAGAACTACGCAAACTATTCATAAAAAAAATTGCCCTTTTAAAAAAAATGCTTCTGTAAACATCAACTATAATATGCACTACTTTACTGTTCTACTCCTATTGCCTACACGTACAAGGATACTTGCAGATCTCAAACAAAAGAAATATATTTCTAAGGGTCTAAAATGCTTATTTACTCGGAGAATATTTGTACTGTACAAAGGGTTTCAAAACAGAAGATTCAAAGTTATCCATAAATGTCAGAAAATGTCTGGATGGATTATGTGCGTCAGTTTTAAACTACTTAATTATCTTAGACCAACACTGCATATTTGATATCTTTGTATATGAAAAGGTCTCATTTAAGCAAAAAGTACATCATCAAAAACATAGAAAAGTTAAAAAAAACTTAAATATCAGACTTCAGTTACTGTGCTTCAAGGTAGGACTTATTAAATCATTAATATGCACTGATTTCAGACAGCTGCACAGGAAAAGAAATGCACTGAACAAACAAGCATTGAGCTCAAAAAAATCAAACAGTGTGAATGAACTAGATTTATATCATTTCGAGGAAGCCTTTAACAAACTCAGGAGAATCCAAGGCTTAACATCTTTGATTTGAGAAAAAACATTTCTATCCCAATAGAGCAAGGCATTTCGCTATTAAAACATGCAGCAGCCACACAAGAAGTTGTGATTTGGTTTTTTTTAAACACCGTAAGAACATAGTGAATTACATGAGCAGGTTACACAGCTGATGCTTTTACTAATTAGTAACTATCATTTTAAAAAAAACAAGCTAGACAACAGATGTTAACCTGAAAAAAGTCCAAGAGGAGGGATAGTACCAATTCTCCACCATGACATTCAGTTGCCTTAGCCATGAGACCAATTCTCTCCTGGCAGTTCCCTGCCTCACTCATCGCATGCCTTCCAAAGTTGGAAAGTTCAAAAATCCTGAGTCCTACCCTTCCCTCCCACTCCCCCCCCAAAAATGAGACTGAAAAATAAAAAATAAATAAAAATAAAACTATTTTTTGGACTCAGTTTTTGAACTACCCCTGCCAACCCCCAATGTGCATGGGTGACAATGACAGAGAAAAGCGATTTGAGTTCTCACCAGAAAACCCAATTAAAGATCAAATTCCAGATTTGTATGAAGTGCTGCCTCCTGGTACAGCACCTCCAGCTTCTCCCCAAACCCCAAGTTTATTTTGTGCCCTTTGCATGCCCATCCTTGCAATTAGTTATGCCATCCCAACCTTCATCTCAACTCCAGGTACTTACCCTCTCTTCCCCTTCTCAGGCCTGCTGTTGCAAGGATGGAGAGGGGCAGAGCAGAGAGCAGACTGACCCTTTGCTCACAGGAGGTGGCAGGGGGAGCAGAGCTGCTGCGCTGTTTCTGTTCCCCCTCTCAGGTGCTTTGAGAATGCGGTCAGCTGTCCCCTTTTCTATCCCCAGAACTCCTCTGGCTCATGAGAGAGCTCGGACCTGCCTCTTGCAAGCAGCCCTGATTGGCTGCTCATCCCAGAAGGTGGGAGAGTGGGGAAGAAGAGGGAGTTCTGGACAGAACTGAAAAAAAATCAGACAAGTGCTAGAAATTGTGTCATTGTGAGAGTGGCCCCAGTAGGGGCTAAAATGTTACAATCAATTCAGAAGTGCAGGCACCCTGAGTCTTCTACCCCTCTTTCCAGCCAGTCCCGGGCCCAGTCGTTTCCCAGTCAGATTCTGTCCCAGCACTCCAACCCTACTGATCCCAGCTCCTGTCTCAGTCCCCTCCATGCATTCCACTGAGGGGGTTTTCTTTTCTACATTCTCTGGGCACCCCAGCAAGAGAGAGTCTCCCTGTTCTCAGCTCTTGTGTACAGTCCCACTGCAGTCACTGGTGGGAGTAAATGCAGTGAAAGTCCTGCTTAATTCCTTTAGCCCAAGGATAGAGCAATCAAGCACACTTAGTGCAGATAATGTAGCTAATTAATAACAAGCCTCTACTGTGTATGTAGGAATTGCTGTTTTTTCAGATGCTTATAACCTGGGCAAATTTGGCCAGATTTTGCCAGGAGCAGCAAGTATCACCGCCCAAGCCGCTGCTCCAGAGCATGGGGGCAGTAGAGCTTCTCAGTTAAATGATTTTAACAGTTTTACCAACATTTTCCCCCCACCCCCAAGCTTTGTTCTCAAAAAGCAATGAAGCTTAAAAAATAAAACAGTCATTTGGCCTAAGGCAGACACCAGGCCTGGTAAGTTTCAGTCCAAATGGTCACAGTTGTACAGCAACTGAAAACAGCATTTTATAATGGAAAGTATTCAGCAACCTGACCTATGGTTGTTGGTGCCAGCTCTGCTTAGAATAAAATTTATGTGCTTAAAGAATTATTATCCCACCCAGCTTCAACTCCCATTTGGGAGGATTCTTCGGTGACTAGGAAGCAAATATACATTTAGTTTATGGTGACCAAAGCACAAAAAATAAATTGCTGGGGGGAAGGTGGGTTTGAAATCTTGTTTTGCTATTAGTAATCAGAATGCCAGACAAATGCTCTTAAAGGGAGCAATGTTCTTTATTTCCACATGAGGGGAAAAAACTGAATTCTTTTTTCTGTTATTTCACAACTTGTCAAAACCCTAACAAAAGGCTTTAGTCCCTCGGGGAGGTGTGACAGTTACAGCAATTCTCTTTTCAAAGAGAGGAGCAATAATTCCAATGTATAGCTGCTTATGGGTAACCAAGTGACAGTGTTACTGCTAAGCCCAAATAAGCTATTTAGGGATGAAGTTAAAGTTTGATGAAATGCAAGCTGCATAGTCTGAAACAAACATGGCACAGATTATACTGGCACAAGTGTGCATACAAGGAATTTTAATCTGATTGCTACATAAACAATGGATGATTATATGGTATAAAACTGAGTTCTAAATTACCTTTTACTGATTATGATCATGTCCATTTTATTGCAAGTTAGACTGGTTAATAGTATGTCACATAGAGCCAGAGGCAGCCCTGTGTTTTGCCTGAGTAACAAATGCAGGATAAGACCACATGTAGTATAGGTTTCTTTGCACTTCTGCCAGCTATAAGTAGGAAATATTGCTCAGTAATATGTTTCAC